GATGATGATGATGATGATAGATTATATTGAGCGTAAATATGGGACCAAAAAATATCGTTTGGTTTTTGAGTGAATTTTAGAATATTATTGTTGTATAAAGGTTAGAATAGTTTACTTAGTATTATTTTTAATTATTAAAGTGATGTTATTATTATTGTTTTTAATAACTGTATATTTGCTTAAAAGAGAGTTAAAGGAGGTTATAGATATGTTATTTTAATAGCTGATTAATGTTAGTTAGAGTATGATTATTTTATTGTTAACCCTGTGATTGGCTCTGGGAAGTGAGGGGGGAGGGAGGGGGGAGTGGAAGGGTGGGTTTGGGGAAGGGGGGGATTTATATTGTAAAATTTTATAAAATTTTCAATAAAAAAAGAATTAAAAATAATAACAACAACAACAACAACAAAACAACAACAACAACAACAAAACAACAACAACAACAACAACAACAACAATAATAATAATAATAATAATAATAATAATAATAATAATAATAATAATAATAATAATAATAATAATAATAATAATAATAATAATATCATTTGCCTGTAAGCAAGAACTGGTGGGATCATAAAATAGAGAAAGTCATAGAAAATGATAAAATTAAACTGCTCTGGGACTTCAGAATTCAAACAGACAAGCACCTGCAACATCACACCCCGGACTTCACAATTGTCGATAAGACAAAAAAAGTCTGGATAGTGGACGTGGCAGTGCCTGGAGACAGCAGAACAGACGAGAAAGAACGGGAGAAGATCACAAAATACAAAGACCTACAAATAGAAATAGAAAGACTGTGGCAAAGGCAAGCAAGGGTAGTACCAATAGTAATAGGGGCCTTGGGTGCAATCCCAAAACAACTGGAGCACCACTTGAACACCATCATCGGCATTGACAAATTCGCCATTAGTCAATTGCAAAAGGCGGCCTTACTAGGAATGGCTTCCATCCTGCAACGAGATCTGTAATACCATCAAACATCCACATCTGCCTATCCCAGGTCCTTGGGAAGGACTCGATAGGTAGACAAAAATGCCAAATCCAGTCTGAACATCCGGCTGACTGTGCGATGATCCATAATAATAATAATAATAATAATAATAATAATAATAATAATAATAATAATAATAATAATAATAATAATAATAATAATAATAATAATAATAATAATAATAAAGTTGGAAGGGACCTTGGGAGGTCATCTAGTCCAACCCCCTGCTCAGGCAGGAAACCCTATACCATTTCGGACAAATGGCTGAGACACTCCACTGGGAAGCAAATGGATTTTGCTCACTTGTCATGCTGAGAGATGGGGGACCGTTTGCCCAAAAAGGCTGGTAGGGGCCGTGCAGAGAAGAGCAATTCAGATGATGAAAGGCCTGGAGACTAAAACATACGAAGAAAGGCTGCAGGAACTGCAGTCTAAAGACAAGAAGAAATAGGGGAGACATGATAGCAGTAGGCCAGTATCTGAGGGGCTGCCACAAAGAAGAGGAAGGGGTCAAGCTGTTCTCCAAAGCACCTGAAGGCAGGACAAGAGACAATGGATGGGAATGAATCAAGGAGAGAAGCAACCCAGAACTAAGGAGAAACCTCCTAACAGTGAGGACAATTAATCAGTGGAACAGCTTGCCACCAGATGTTGTAGGTGCTTCATTACTGGAGGTTTTTAAAAGGAGATTGGACAGCCATTTGTCCAGAATGGTATAAGGCAGTGATGGCGAACCTTTTAGAGACCGAGTGCCCAAACTGCAACCCAAAACCCACTTATTTATCACTGGGTGCCAGGTGGGCGTGGCCCACTGGGTGGGCGTGGCTGTGATGGTCATGGCAGACTGAAGGTGGGTGTGGTCACCTCAATGTTGCTCGTGGGGAGGGACGCCTGTGGGGGCCGGGCAGGGTTGGGGGAGATCCAGAAGGTCTCTGGCAGGTGGGGCAGGTGGGCAGGAGGCTTGTCGTGCGGGGTGAGGCGAGGCAGGGGCCAGGGTGGCTGCTGCCTGACACCATCGGCCCCCGCACACAGAGGCCACCGAGCGCATGGGGACCGACAGTGTCCGTCAGCAGCCACAGCCTGCCGGCCCCTCAACCGGCGCACTCTGGGGCTCCGCAGCCCGCCGCCAGCAGTTCAGAGAAGCCATCTCTAAGCTGGACGGCCGGCTGACAGCTGAGGAGGTGATGCAGTGGGTCGTGCCCAGGAAAGGGGGCCGGCAGGCTGTGGCTGCTGATGTACATTGTCGCCCCCCATGTGGCCTCTGTGTGCGGGGGCCGATGGTGTCAGGCAGCAGCCGCCCCGGCCCCTGCCTCGCCTTGCCCTGCGACAATGGCACCCCCGCCCTGTCTCGCCTTGCCTCGCCTCGCCTCACCCCGCAGGACGAGCCTCCTGCCCCACCTGCCAGATCCACCTGGATCTCCCCCAATGCTGCCCGGCCCCCTCAGGCGTCCCTCCCCACGAGCAACATCAAGGTGACCACGCCTACCTTGGCCACACCCACCCGGTCTGCCATGACCACCACAGCCACAGCCACCCAGTGGGCCACGTCCACCTGGCACCTGGCGATACATAAGTGGGTTTTGGTTGCAGTTTGGGCACTCGGTCTCTAAAAGGTTTGCCATCACTGTCCTAGAAGGAGGAAGGAGCAAGAGCGCCCTCTGGTGAACAGGAAGGAGAAATGTCCCAAAGGTGCTTTTTCCACCAGGCAACTGGACTTTTTGTTTTTCCTCTGAAGACGTTTTGCTTCTCCTCCAAGAAGCTTCTTCAGCTCTGACTGGATGGTGGGGGAATGGGAGGATTTATGCTCCTTGCAGACAGCTGGTCCTTTGCCTTCTTTTTAGAGAGTCCTTTGTTTCTGATCATCTTTGTTGCTCTTCTTTGTTGATCATCTTTCCGATCATCTTGGTTGCTCTTCTCTGCACTCTTTCTAGAGTCTCCACATCTTTTTTACATCGTGGTGACCAAAACTGGATGCAGTATTCCAAGTGCGGCCTTACTAAGGCATTGTAAAGTGGTATTAATACTTCGCGTGATCTTGATTCTATCCCTCTGTTAATGCAGCCCAGCACTGTGTTGGCTTTTTTGGCAGCTGCAGCACACGGCTGGCTCATATCTAAGTGATTGTCCACTAGGACTCCGAGATCCCTCTCACAGTTACTACTATTGAGCAAGGTACCCCCTATACTACTGTATACGTACCTGTACATTTGATTTTTCTTGCCTAAATGTAGAACCTTACTTTTTTCACCATTGAATTTCATTTTGTTAGATAGTGCCCAGTGTTCAAGTCTGTCCAGATCCACCTGTATCTTAAGCCCAGCTTGGTGTCATCTGCAAATTTGGTGAGTTCCCCATCTATCCCCTCGTCCAAATCGTTGATGAAAATGTTGAAGAGCACTAGGCCCAGAACAGAGCCACAGGTCCACAAGTCATAAAGGGGCCAGGTTTGAAGACCCTTGCTTTAAACTGACATAATGCCCCATTCTTCCCTAACCTGCCAGTCTCTGGATTCAATTACCATCATCCTCAGCCAGTTACCGGGGCTGGTAATAATATAGCCAAAACATTATGTATGAGACCATAATTAAAGGAAGCCTGTTTTTTAAATGACTACATTAGAGAACGTTGCGCTCCTTTTCTTAAAAACAGAAAAGAATTATGTGTACAAATACAGGTAGTCCTCAACTTAGCAGCACAATTGAGCCCAAAATTGATGTTGCTAAGTGAGAGTTAAGTGAGTTTTGCCCTATTTCTTGCCACTGTTGTTAAGCGAATCATTGCCGTTGTTAAATTAATAACACGGTCGTTAAACGAAACTTTCCCATTGACTTTGCTTGTCCAAAGGTCACAAAAGGGGATCACGTGATCCCAGGACGCTGCAACCGTCGTAAATGTGAGNCTTCTTTCTTTAGACTAGCCAAACCCAAGTCCTGCAGCCGTTCTTTGTATGTTTTGGTCTCCAGGCCTTGGATCATCTTAGTTGTTGAAACCTGTTGGAATAAAACCCTTTACTTCAAAGGCTTTGATTGGAGCCCCAGGTACCACTCACCAAATTTCTGTAAGAGCCTATGAAAAAATAGGGCTTTATCTTTTTTTTTTCTTAGTGCAATGAGGCATCCATTCATGGACGCCCCAGCAAAATGACTCATAACCGCATTTTAACCAGCATGGGGTTCGGAAGGCTTTCATAGCCTAA